GAGAAAAAACCTAACATTGTATTGTATGAAGGAACAAATGGTTACTAGATACAAGAAGGGGTGGTAACCGGTAGCATTGTCGGAGGTTTAATTTGATTCAATTTTTTTAATATTATTAATTAGTCATACAATTTTAAAAAATTAAATAAAATAATATTTTAAATAAAATTATATAAAAAAATATATCATCTAAAAATGTTAATTTGTGTTATAAAATTTCATAAATTACTGTTCATTTAAAAAATTATTGAAGTCAGACCAAATTATCAAAACCGGCCAGATCATAAGCACACGCATTTAGAAGCGGGCAGTTGGACGAATGCAATAAGAAGTTCGGTGGCACGGGACAGGACGTTGCAATCGTGCAATAAAATAAAAGTTTCGTGGCACAGGATTGGAACACATACAGCAGCACGTGAGTCTTATGCACAAACTGGTTCCACTCTGCAACAGAGCATGTCCCCACTTGGCCACATGACAGGGCAAAACTTATACTATAGTGCCCATCTAAGGAAGTCCAATGTAATGTAATATATATATTTTGTACAAGTGGATAAGGTAACATGACATGATGATTTAATTTTATCAGTTTAAAAACTATGACGAAAACATTATAACAATTAAAACGAGAAGAATCAAATTAAAACTCGTTGGAATTAGGAAGATCAAAAGTATGACTAAGCATAAATTATACATGAATCATGTCCTAAATTAATCTACGAACCGACTTTGTTTTTACTTCTTTGGCTCGTTGCATGCAATTTCTTGTATAAAGACAGCTATATGGGCTATTATGGCCTATGTTATACAAATATCTAATTATCAATTTTTCTGTATCAGCGTCATGCAGTTTCGAATGACCTTCTTAACAAACTAGTATATATTAACAACTTGTAAAAATTAGAGATATTTAATGCAATTTTCATACTAGTGCAAGCTTATTCTATGATATATATATGTAAAAAATCAATTCACCTAAGATTAAATTGTTAGGTGGGAGTCTTTTTAATGATTTATATTATACTTTAACACGTCCTTCCACAAGAGAGTACATTAGACTTGAGAAGTTGATGATGCATTAAGTCCAATCTATCTGTACTAAGAAATTCTGGCGAGAATCAAATTTGGAACACCAAAACTATGATATTATGTAAAGAATCAATTCACCTAAAAACTTGAGCTATTAGATGATTATACTCTAACAATATATATGTTATAATTATAAATGTCTCCAGTATTGGTTTATGTGGATAATTTGGAGGGAATTAGAAAAGATTCTCAGCTGTGATTCGTTGCATCTCGACCAACATAAACGACAAGGATCCAAGCAGAGCAGGTTTTGAACTCTAAAGTGTTTTCACGTGTCCTGCTCCTTGGACTCGTGTAAGGTCACGAGGGATTTAAGCTCTTCCAAAGGCTAGATTTTCGTAATTGTATATTCTTCAGTAAAATCACATTGCCTGCAATAGTTTGGTATAATAATATTTTGAGTCATAAAAACAAAGAACAATAGGCAGGAATCCTAGACAAAGTGTATGATGGAATTTGCAGCAAAAAAGTGGATGCCAATATGTCAACCAAAAAAAGTAAAAAGGGATAAATTTGGAGCATGCATGTGAATAATATGGGTCACGTGTTTCTGCTTTCAGTCGAAGAACTATAATAGTGTGTGTTACTGATGCACCAATTTTACCTTCGAGATCTCAAAATACTAAAACAATCTGTAAAATTATTGGCAGTGATCATTGTTAGAAAATTCAAATATGAATACTGAAATTCTATATTGATTAAAATAGACTAAATCATAATCATACAACTGAAAGGAACATAAAATTAATATCTTAAATATTGGGTTGAGATGGATTGACGGACCTACTCTTATGCAATTGTCTGCAAGTGCAAATATAAAATTTTAGGAAAAAAAAGAATAAAGTATTTTTTGAGTTCTCAGCAAAAATTACACGGCCTAATTTAATTTCTTGGAAAAAAAGTCAACTCTTGATCTTTCTGAATTTCAAAATAAACTCAATTAGTTAAAATCGTGATCCATCTAAAATTTAAAGCAGACTCACATTAATCTATCTAAAATATTCTTTTGTTTTTTAATATATTTAAAACTTTCTTTAATTTTTTTTCCGTGACATTACACCCGAACGTCCATTTTAAATATACAAATATAAATAAAATTTTATGGGTTCAGCACTGTTGAGAAGTAATATAAAGTTTACTTATTATGATGAATTATCTTTACTCCATTAATAATAACCCTCTGCTATCATCAATTTTCCGTGTTTGCCAAACAATCAGCATAGTAATTGACAGTGTCGCACTCTAGGCAACCTTGGGTATTTGAATCCAATATATATCCCTTTCAAGATGAAGGGGAAGGAAATTAATGTCACTAGGTTAGAGGGCTTTTAGCTCAAACTAGGTAGACTTGAAAACAAAAGATCAGGAAGATTACAAATCTTAGCGTGTTTGGTGTTAAAAGCTAAAGGTAAAGTTAAAAAAAAACTTTAAGGTGGTGTTTGGTTGCATTCTTTTTCAAACTTTCCCATGCATCTGAAGGAAGCATTCCGGAAAGCACTCGTTTGGCTCCATAGATTTAGTGTAAATTCCCACCAATCCTAATTGCATTGCATTTTGAATATGCAAGTGGAATGATGGTGTTTGGCACTGTTCAAAAAGAATTCTTGGAGGTGGTTTTTTATGAAAACCAGCAAAGGCACTGTAGACAATATCTCAAACGACCATTATACCCTCCAAAGACACAGATTTTTTCTTGTTTTGAAGGTAAAGGGTAGCATGTTTGTTTCAAAAAAAAAATTAAAACAGGGCTATTTTCGTAATAGCATCGTTTTTTCCCATCTATATTTTACCTACAGCCAAACATAGACTTCATAAATGTTACCTAATTTCTCCGGTAATATTTTTTTCAACCAAACAACTTTTTTTACATTTTCCTACCAAACTCACTTTCCAACCATTTCCCCACTATTCTTATTTCCCTATTATTCATAAAAATTTCCTCTCAACCAAACGCCCCCTATAGATTAAATTATAAGTTGTTTGGTAATTATATAAAATTTTTAAATTAAAAATTACTTAAAAATTGTTTATTTAAAATAAACACAATTTTTTTTTTAAAAAATAGATACAATTTAAAAAAGTTTCTTCTAAGAATTTTTCACTTTTTTTTATTATAAAAAAATTAATTTTATTATAAGAACTTTTAAAAATTTATTTGATCTAACTTTTATTTATAAGGAAAAAAAATAAAAAAACCCCAAACATGCATTTAGTCTTATCACAAATTACCACAATATTGTATACAAAGGTCGGTCTTTAGTCTAACTTCAATTTTGGAAAAAAACAAAGTCCAAAAAATTAAAAAAAAAAACCAACTTTCAATGAATTGACTTACTTGATGTTGAACTTGAGCGTATATATATATATATATATATATATAAGATAAGATCTTTTGATATCAGTGTTAAATTTGAAGTTTGACATCTCATCTCATAGTTGTTAGATAAAAAAAGATCAATGATGTAACATACTTACAAATCAAAGTCATTAATTTTTTTTGATCTAACGACTATGAAATGAAGTATCAAACTTTAAATTTGACACTAATATTAAAAAATCATGCTGTATATATATTTAGGACAGACTTCTGCATGGCCCAATTACCTGTAATGTTCGATGGTTCAACATCTTGACTCTCCCATACTCTATGAACGTCAATTTCTGGGGGGTGGTGCAGAGTTTGGCCCCTCAAATCACGCATTTACACGGGTTAACTCCGAGCATATTCCTAGACTCCTGCAAATATTCCTTATTGCTGGAATATGAAAATGAACTTTGACTGGACAGAGAGAAAGAGAGGGGTAAATGTCATTTGAACCCCATGAACAATACAGTAGTCGACAACTTTAGTTGTTGGATTATTATTATTATTTTTAAATATTATGGAAAGGTAGAACAAAAACAAAGGCAGTGACTATTTACTGTGAAGCTTATCTTGGTATTAACGTCAGGCTATTTAGCTTTTACAATGACAAAGAAAAGTACACAACCCAAAGCTTTACGGAAGAAATATCTGTGTACCAGACATATCGTCAAATGCTTATAACGTGTAAAATTTATATCCCGTGTAAAGTAATCTTCAGTGGAGAGCCGAAATTTCAAAAAGAAAACTTTTTTCTTTTTTCTTTTTTCCTATAAAATGTTTATCACATTTTCATTTTTTTTTCTTTATAAAACTTACATTGAGATATTTCCTAAACTCATTGGTAACGAATTTTGCTCAACCACACAATTTATTATGTGAAATCAATTTAGTTGGTTTAAATGATTAATCTTTTATTGGATTTTTAAGAAGTAACCAAGGATTTAAATTTTATTAAAAACACTTTGTGGTTAGGTCATATCTTCCTATATTTAACAAGAATTAGCTTGTACCTATAAATGTAAGAATGAGAAAAGAAAATAACAAAATTCTTATCCGATAAGTGTAGAAATTAAAAATGAATATTGCTTTATAAAACAATAAATAAAGAAAGATACTCTCTTTAAAAAAAAAACTTTATTCTAAAATAAGATAAAGAGGATAAGATAAAGATCACTTTGTTCTTGCCAATACTATGTATCCCAACCCCATATAGCAGGTGCCTATAAAGTATAAAGTTTAAATATTTTGACTTCCACAGAGTATGCCAACAAACAAAAGAATTAGATAAAGCTGAAAAGGGGTAAAATTGAGAAAGTATAAAAGCAGAGGAGTTTCCAAAATCCAAAGTCCAAAGCACCTTGGCACCATCATTAATGTTACAATTATATTATATTATTATTTATTTCTGATTTCACTCCATTCTCACAGGGACACCTAAACCCAATCCTCTCTGCAAATGCTCACTGAATATTCCTCTCCTCATAAAACCATATATACAAACAACACATTCCTCTCTATCCCTCACACATACTTTTATGTACACAAAATGAACTTCTAGACTGAGATTCTCTCCGTCTCTATTATTTTCCCATCTTTTTCATCCTCTGTTCCTTCTTGCACGATTCGCAAATTTCATTTTTAATATAAGATTGAGAACTCAGCTGGCGGGTTTCACCGTGGAAAATTGTAAAATAAGGGAAAAAGATTCGATCTTTGAATTTAGGAGATTTTGGGGATGAGGCTTAACGGAGAAATCTCACGCGGAGAAGGAGAAGAGAAAGAAGCGGGTACGACGGCGTTTTCGAGTGGCGGTTGCGGGCAGAAAGTGGTGGTTGGGTACGCGTTGACGTCGAAGAAGAAGAAGAGCTTTCTGCAGCCAAGCTTGACTGGCCTTGCACGGTTTTAACCTTTCATCTTCATCTGCATGCATATTCATGCAACATTTGAGATTTATGTTTCCAATTTTCCACAAATGGGTTTGCCAAACCCATTATTTTCTTTTCTTGTTTGGATCATTTCATTTGTTTCGTTTTCTGCTTCGCTAGCTTTAAAGCGGCTTTTGCAGTGGTGGGGTTCACGGCGACACGTAGTGTCTTTATCTGTCTAGTATATAGTGGTGGAGCAATTTTGCACCATGCCTGATGAAATGGGTAATGGCTATCACTTTCGTGAGTCGAACCCGGGCAACTGTGTTCCCTTTTTTTTTATAATATTTCTTGTAAACTTACCATCTTATTTACTTCTTGGTAAGATCTTGGACATTTCTCCATTCTAATTTAAATGAGAATATTCCACTATTTATGCCCTACCTTTGGGTTTGTGACTGACAACCCAAGGTCAACTCTTAGTACATTGTTCTTTATTCTCAATTTAAATTAATTCACCTTGCTTGTTTCTCTGGAATGTTCAATTTACATTATTGTCCACAAATTTTGTAGTCTGCTCACATTGAAGATTGCTACCATCTGGGCATCAGAATTACAGCAAATATAATTTATGTATATATATATATATATATATATATATATATATATATATATATATATATATTTATTGGCAGATTATATTTACAAACTTTTTTGTTTATAAATTTTTTTTGTTTATAAACTCTTACAAACTACACTAAGTACGACCGGTCATACTTTAATCATGCAGTGTACGACCGGTCGTACTTAGTGTAATTTGCACAAAAAATTTGTAAACGGATCCTATCTCATATATATTTATTATAAAATATATTTGGCCGGCGGTGTATATTAAAAAAAAAAAAAAAAAAACTATTCACAACTATATTTGTTTATGTGTGGGGCAGGAACAAGGGGATAAACTTTGTTGCAATTGATCTAAACAAGCCGCTGCCAGAACAAGGTCCTTTTGATGTCGTATTGCATAAGGTTTGTGACATTTCTTTCAGGATTTTATCATCATTTACGTGTGAAATTCTTCATATATGGGTGTTTTTTTTTATGGTTTTTCTGAATTAGTGGCTCAGTGACAGGTGGTTATCAGCAGTTTAAGAACTATTTCTGTTTCTGTCTTCTCTATGTTATAAACTGACTCGCTTTTTGTCCTTTCCAGCTGTTAGGAGAGGAGTGGCATGGGATTATTGAGGTTTGTGAACTCCAGACACTTCTACCTACTTTCACGTTGTACAATTTTGATGTTTTAATCCTTTTTGACGAATACAGTCATGACATTGCATTTAATCGTTAGGATCATTAGTCTGGGAGTTAAGTATGAAATGGTAGTGATTGGCTGGACAACCAAATCTTCTGGAGTCTTAAAAACTTATTACTGTCTGACAAAATTTGCAGAGTTCTTGCTCTCCTCATCATGAATCATGATCAGATAGTTGAAATCAGTCCCTCAAGTATTCACACAAGTGAGGATTTACTCTTGCGATTAATCTAAATAATTTGGTTAGGCATTGGTGGAGTTTGTTGCCCAAAGAACGAATTATTATTTCCCTTTGTCTTTTGGTTCATTGTCTTAGTTGAAAATATTGTTTCTTTTTACGTTTGATTGATAGTGACTATTACAGTACTTTGGCATGGAGATCCAATTTCTTACAGTACAAGGCTGCTGGGTTTATAGGTTAGAAGCCAATAATGCTACATACCAAATGCAACCAGGTCTGGGAATTTCATAATATTGAAAATCCCCGATACATATAACGAGATCAGCATAGAAGGGATAAGAAAGCTTCTGACAGATGGTTTAATAATAGATTAAGTGCACGAGAAGTCTGGTTTACTTCTTCGCAAATTTGACTTTATAAAAGTTTTATCTTTTGCTTCTTTTGTCTCCTAAAAAAGTTTGCTTGATAGTTTAATGAGATGGTAAATTACAATATTGCTCTATTTTTAAAACTTTTCTGCTAAAATGTTCATAGCTGACTGGAAATATGTAATTGATGATGGTTTCATGCTTTCTAGTTAGTCCGTGAAGTTTGTAGTTCGATGTAGCTAATTGGACCCTTTTTTTTTTTTTTTTTGAAGGATTACAGGCAAAAACATCCAGAGGTAACTGTCCTTGATCCTCCAGGTGCAATTCAACATTTACACAACCGCCAATCCATGCTGCAAGATGTGGTGGATCTAAACTTATCTGACTGCAACGGTAACTTGTTTACTACAATTTCCTTTTTCTATTTTTTAATTTTGTTTCTTTTTTTTTTCCACTCTAATTTTTTTCTCTTATTTCTTTAATTTTTTCTTTATTTTTTTCTCTTATTTATCTTTATTTTATTTCTCATGTTATTTTTCATTTTATTTTTATTCTTTTCTTCCTCTCAATTTTTTCTTGCTTGTCATTTGGGTGTATTAGCTACGAACCCCAATTAGTTTGGGATAAAAGTGTTTTAAAACTCCCCCAGAGAAACTTTTTGATTGTGCATGAATCTTAAATCAAAAGTTTTATAACATCAGCATACATCATCATGCTCTTGTGTTGGGCTACTTACTCAACTTTTTTATTTTAATATATTGGAATGTAAGAAGTTATTGGCTCTTTGATTTTTCTAGTTGAACCTGTATTTCAGTGTATGGTAAACTAGTTTTTTGCAAATCTCACCTTTATTTGCATTTATATATTGACTACTGTTGTTTTTTAGGCAAGGTTGGCATTCCACGACAGCTAGTTATCACAAAAGAGAAAGACCCATCTACTATCCCTTATGAAGTCGCTAAAGCTGGGATGAAGTTGCCATTAGGTATTTATCTTTGTTTAATATCCTTTTCCAGGTCATTATATCTAGGGATGGATATGCTTATTACATACCATTCTAGCCACATGCAATTGGCATGCATTAAGCCAACCTCTGCATTGATGGTGTTGAATGAAAATATCTTAGAAGATTTGAATGGAATCAAAGAACCTGTAAGATACTTGTCAAGAATATCAAGAAAAGATAGGGAAAGAGTGATCTTTTTTTATTAATCCCTTCTAGATAGCAAAAAGATATTGGCTTACACAAGATAGAAAAATTACACTGGATATCTGTATGGAAACTCCAGAGGAAAATAACCTCTGGCCCTCTCCTCTCACTCAACTACTGAGTAACAACAACGAAAACTCCTCTCCCAATAACCTTCCCTTCTCTGCTATCATTAACTGCATCAGTTACAAGTCTTCTGTTATTAACTGCACTATCCACATTCTCATCCAGTTACAGGTCGAAACTGTTACTCCTATCATTATTTGCGTTACCCACGTACCCATTCAGTGTCAGTAACTGTAACAGTCCACATGGCTTCCAGAGCTCATTTTCTTTTTACTCATATCATTAACTCTCCCCAAGCTGTTCTCACCCAGAATAATTAAAGGGGATATTCTTGAATGGATTGAAGGAGGAAATTCGGGTTGAATGGGCCTGAGGTTATTACTTATTATCCTGATTGGATTGTTTCAGATATATGAAGGAGAAAAAATATTGAGTTAGGGAATGACAAAATCATCACCATTGATTTTCTCCTAAATTAGGATCCTCTCACATGACATGATCGTGAATAACATGAGAGGATCTACTCCTTTCAGATATACTATCATCTCTCATTGTGTGTTCTGATGTTGATGTGTATGTTGAAAATATTCACCCCTTTTTTTTGGTAATTTTCAGTTGCAAAACCACTAGTTGTGGATGGCAGTGCAAAGTCACATGAACTGTTTCTTGCTTATGATGAATTCTCTCTTTCGGAACTTGAACCTCCACTTGTTCTACAAGAGTTTGTCAATCATGGTTTGTGAACTAATCCATAGACCATAATCTTCTTCTGTTCAGTTTGCATTGTTATGTAATCTCTCTCTTTTTTGGGGGTGGTGGGCTGTGACATTGCAGGTGGTCTTCTCTTTAAGATTTATATTGTTGGTGATACCATCAAGATTGTGAGACGTTTCTCTCTTCCTAATATCAGTAAACGTGAGCTATCAAAAGTTGCAGGTGTATTCCGTTTCCCAAGAGTTTCATGTGCAGCAGCTTCTGCAGATGATGCTGATCTGGATCCTAGTATAGCTGGTGAGACTCAGAAAGCCCCTCCTCTTATTATCTTCTAATACTGAAGAAAGAAGAATTGCAAATTGTCCAGTACACGTGCCTCATTAGTTAGTCATTACAGTTAGTTAGTTATTACAGTTAGTTAGTTATTACTGTTACTGTTTTAACTCTGTATAAATAGTAGATAGTTTAGCTTCTGTAAACTCAAGTTCTTCAGTTGTATTTTTCATCATCTTCTTCAATAGATGAAATATGATTTCTTTCAAGATAAGAATACCAGAAAGTTAAGACCTCTCCCACCACCAGCAGAAGATGGAACATTTTTTGAAAGCAATATTATTGCATTTTATTTATATTTTGCTAATGTCAAATGTTTTTGTGAATTACTCTTTTATCTTCTACGTCCCACCTGATATGGACTGTCTTTTTAAAACTTTACGTGGACCTGCTGAATGGTTGAGACCTGCCATTACATCATGTGTATTGACTCACTACAGAGTGAATCCCATTGTGCAGCAACTACTACCTCTTCCCCTTCTCTTTCATGAGGCCTTTATGTAGTTAGGTGATTGTGTGAGTAAATGGCTGGAACTAGTCACTAGTTTCAACTTACCGTGACACTTTTGATTACAGAACATCCACCAAGACCTTTATTGGAGAAGCTTGCAAGGGAGCTCCGTCATAGATTGGTATAATCATTTATTTTTTACTATCATTTACTGTCACTTTTCATTTCTAGATGATATACTAAAACTGAATTGCATCACTACCTTTAGGGACTCCGCTTGTTCAACATAGATATGATTCGGGAACATGGGACCAAGGATGTGTTTTATGTCATTGATATCAACTACTTTCCTGGCAAGTATATACTTATTTGCATTTAAGCTAGTCCCATTGTTTCTGATTGTGTTAGTGCATAAATTGTGTGAAGCGTTTGTTCTTTATACTCTGTCCTAGAAATTCCCTTAAACGTCCAATTGAAAAATAACTCGTTTCTTGGTTTTATGTACTGTATGTCGCTTAATAAAGTCCAAGAAGATAATTGAATTTGAACTTCGTTCCTGAAAGAAACTAGCTCTATATTAGTCAGTGATAGGATTTTAGTAAGAAATGGAATTCACAGAAAGAAAACTTCTTGAAGTCAGAATATTCTCATCAAGATGTTTTTTGGATTATGGGTTTGAGATTTGCATTATCTCAAGCCATACGCATTTAATACAAAAAATTTTGACTGATATTTTTGCATTCTTCCACTGGTTATCTCTTGGTTGTTTGTTCACTTCAAATTTTGTCTATTTTTTTTTTTAACATGTTAATAATTTATTGTTCCAGTTCTTGGCAATGCACATATATTGAATATGCTGCTAGCCTTCTATCCTATACCGGCTGAAGTTTATCTTCTTTTACGGTTTTATCCACTGCAGGGTATGGAAAAATGCCAGACTATGAGCACATATTTACAGATTTTCTCCTTAACCTAGTGCAGAGCAAGTGTAAGAAGAAACTTACTACCTAAAGTAAAGGGAAGTGAATAGTTCTATTGAGTCGGTGGTCCTTGCTGGTGGCTTTCTTGAAAATTGAGGAACATCGTACTTTTAACAATATATACAAACTGGTATGAAATGTCAACGAAGCTGCTAAAATGTTTGAAATATGGCTGTCTAATCTCTCTCTCTCAAAAAGGAGCAAAAATGTCTTTGTTGTAAATTATATGCTTATCCAAATCAATGCAAGTTTTGTTGATTGTTACGACTCGGCAAGTAAATCCGTGTTCAAAATCTGATTCAAATCCAATATAGCACCTATAGGTACATAAGAAATGTATTAAATCGATTGATAAAAAAGAATCGATTTGATTGCAACTTCGAATATGGAATTCAAAGATATCAAATAGGAAATGAGACTCTGAATCATTGAACGATAATGAAATACACGATCAACCAACATTTATCAAATTTGAAAGAGTCATAAGAGATGGGTCAATCTTCTTATTTTTATTTATTGAATCGAGAGATCTATAAATCGGGATCAAGTAATAAAGTGATAAAGAGTGGGGATGTTGTTCTCACGAGGATTGATTTATTAATCAATAACTTATTTATATAATCAAAGTTGAATCGATTTTGTAATTTTTGAAGAATATAATTTTGAATTAATAAAAAAAAAGAGAATATAAAAACAATATTTTTTCTTCTTTATTTTCAAGATTAATAACCAAGAACAAGAATTAAGAATGCAAATAAGAAAGCTAAGTTTGAATTCAAACATTCAAGAGCGTAGGTTCGGATTTTTTGATGATTTAATCATTTCTTTTATTTAAAGTCTTAATTTTTTAGAGCCATTTTCTAGAGTAAATATTAACGTCAAGAATCTTACATGCCATAGAATTTATAAGTCTATATTTAAAATATACAAATCATAGCAATTAATTAATCAGAATTAAAATACCAATATCCCTATTGACATACAAGACTCTATGTTTATCTATGAGTGCACAATTCATAAACAAAAATAATCATTAATAAATAGATTAATTGCATAATTTAGATCATAAATGTCAATTACAAGAAAGCATAAACAGTGTTCAAGAACCTATCGGTTCCATCTCACCTTAACAACATAAAAGAAATTAACCTAGCATGTTCATGAAAAAAAACAATAGATGAAAGATAAAGAGAATGCATGATAAAATCGAATTAAAGATGATCCACCGTGAAGCCTTGAATTGTTATTCTTCCTTCTCCTTTCCAAGAGCTCTCCTTTGCATTCTCCAAATCTCCTCTGCCGCGTGAATCCCCTTATCTGTAACCATAGTCACGTCTCTTTTAAAAAAGTAAGAGAGCTTTTAATTTAGACCAGACTCGCTAAGGAGTTCATTGAAGCAAGCTGCTCAGGAGAAAAGAAGAAAATTCGACGCGCTCGCTTATGTTGCTCACCGGAGCGAGAGATTGTGAGAAAAACAATGTCCTTGCTGGACCTGGTGAGCATAAAATAATAAGTTTTTTTTTTTTTTGAATTCCTGGCTTGGATTTCATCTCTTATAACTTCAATAATTTTCACAATTAAAATTCATTATTTTAAACCTGAAATTTGCATAAAAAAAAGTCAAGAATTACATCCAAGTATTAAAACTCTATAATTTTTTGGATTTGTTAATTATTATTATGTTCTGGATCATATTTATCTTTATTTATTATATCTTTGATCCTAAAAATATAGTTTCTATGACACCCATCATTGATGGTAAATAAGTACAAAGATTTGAATTTCATTTGTAAAAATTCCGGATGTCTTGAATATTCCACTGGGTAACAATAAAATGTTCCTAAACGGAGATGAGATTATTCTGCAAGTTCTTTAGATTGGTTATGAATATGTGGTTTTGTTGGTTATTGCAAATAGTTCAAATATAATAGCTAATGGGGAAAACAAAAATACTTTCAACGACCTAGTGGAATGTGGTCGTAGTAATGAGACCAGGCAAGCATGTGATATACTCCAATATGTCAGATACACTACAAATAACATTTTTAGCGTAAATAACATAATTCACATAACTTAATTGCCAATATTCATTTCCCCCTCTTTATATACATTTCTATTTTCATCACTATGGGCGTCGACGAAGGGTATGCGATTAGTATATGTTAACTGAGTATATATCTTCCTTATTTTTTGCATTGTAGTATAAGGGGCAAATGACTGTACATGTAATATACAATATTTACAGCCCCCTGGAATATTTCAAGGAAGCACCGACATGTTTATTTTTGGTGAAAAATACATGATGGACACTGACATGTTCGGAACACAAGGCCAATATTCTTCGACTCTTGACACGTTTTGACATCGGTCTATGTTTTTTTATATGCGATCAACGTTTTTTGACATTTTTTTTTAAGATCTAAATTTTATTTTATTTTTTTAACTAAATATAAAAAAATAATTTATAAATTAAATATTTTTTGTTATGAAATTTGACATGAAAAATTAACAAGATATGTAAAATTATTTTTTCTTTATATTTATGTTATGAAATTTTAATATTTGATTAGTTATATGACTTATTATGAATTGCTATATATATTAAATGTAAATTATATTATGAGAAAAGATTCGTTTATAATTTTTTTTTTTACAAACTTTTACAAATTGCACTATATACTCTCAGAAGTATATAATGTAACATAATCTACTTCCAAGAGCACATAATGTAGTTTGTAAACAAAAAATTTGTAAATATAATCCTTCCCTTATATTATACATATTAAAAATATTATTTAATATTAAAATGTATCATAATATGTCAAAATTTTAAAATTAACGTATCAACGTGTCGTGTTGTATCTTGTGTTTCATATTGATGTAACATAGGAAAACATTGCCAAGACAGATAGCGGAAGTAAGAAGGTTCTTTTTTTTTTTTTTTTTTAAGTTACAATACTTGTATAATTTATGCGTTTAATTTTGATGTAGTGTCAATAATTTTTTTTATATTGACAGCTAATTATGTAGTATAAAAAAATTATATTGACATCTAACTATGTGTTGACACTTTATTTAATGAATTCCATTATATTAACAATTACATGAGAATATGAGATATAAACATCATTAAATATAATAATATATATCTTATTGAAGATTAGACAGAACATGATTGGAGGCAAGAGTTAATTTTTTATTCAATATATATTCATATATTTCTCATTGATTACATTATTTGTGTAAGTATGTTACAAAGTTATTATTATATTATTATTATTAACAATGGTTATGACGCATGAAGAGCCTCATGAGTCATGCCCATTGGCCCAGTTATTTTGTGGGTTAGTCTCGGTGGTCCCGTTTAACATGCAAATTAAACTGATAAGTTTATTATTCACTTTTAAACGGATTGAGTATTAAAATTTTTAACATGTGTAAAAATCAAGTTATGCAAATTAGCATGTGGAGTGTGGACTAGTATCCCGCGTCAAAGATCATTCAAAGCAAATTTACTTCAGATTATCATTAAACCAGGTTCAAATATTTGTGATCCAATCCAATATCTATTGAATTGATCAGTACCCATTTCATATATCCAGGCCTATGCTTCCAAGCACATCCCAAAGAAAACATATTCCTCCTAATATAAAGTAATTCATTCTGTTATCAAAAAAAAAAAAAAAATTAATTCATTCAAATTTAAATCATACCTGATCATATTTTTAAGAGTTAAAATGAAATTATATACTTTTGATATTGAGCCCGTCATCACTATTAAATAATAGAAACCGATAATCTGCAGCTGAAAAACTAACTGCACGTCATGCAGTTCTCATCTTGAGGTTGCAATTTTTTTAACTATATTTATATTTTTTTAAGAAAATTATTAATCTTATGTCATATAAGATAAGTATCTTATATGGGTAAAAACAAGTTATGGCCCATAATTTTAAAAAAGAAAAAAAGAAAAGAAAAATAGACACAAGATTCCATAAATATGTACCATAAGATAATTGCACTAAATTTACAGGAGTGTGTAATATAAGATAGTTGCCTTATAACAACTATTTTCCTTTTTTTAATGAACTAAATTTTTTGACAGTTAAGATTATCTACAGTTAAAAATAATCATTTACACGACGTGCAGTGCTCATCCTATGGCTGCAAATTTTTCAATTGTATTTTAATTTTCTTATGAATTATCTCTTTCAAGAGGTGTTATATATGTCAATGTAACAGTGTGTTCAACGAGGCAATAATATGAACTAAAGTTAACAATGGAGTCACAGACTTGCAGTGTAAATCTCAGTTAAGGGTATCCATGATAACTTTTTCAAAATCAGTTTTTTTTTTTCTTTTAATTTTTATTCTCGGAAATAGAAATAGATAGAAATAGTATTTGACAAAATCAGATTATTTTTTATTCTCGATAATAAATCGGTTCAATTTTTGTGCTGAGGAACAGAAAAAAGAAACACTTGCCTCTCTTAATCACTCTTCACCTACACATCACCACCACCATCCCAACACGACCACCGCCACCGTCACCGCCACCGTCATTACCACCATACAACTGTCACAACTACCACTACTACCATAACCGTAACCGCCACCACCATCACTACCATCATCACCACCACCATACTTAAATTAAATGGTTATTATCAACACTTTTACTGATTGAAAATTAAGGGAAGGACACATTGATTGAAATCTAATAGAGTTTTTAAAAACTAAATCAATTTATTTAATGATTTTCTAAATAAAAATTCAATACTTAAATTAATTTTTATTTTATAACTTTTCATACAAATCTTTCATTTTGTGCTATAGAATGCATCACAATTAATGTGAAGATTTTACAATTAGATATAATGATTTTGTCAAAAAGTGTACGTCAAGTCGCACCTGTTTTGTTTTATTTTTTTCTAAGAAATTCTTAATCAGAAAGTTGAATTTCTCATCGATATATGCATTTTAATAACTCTTTCTCCGTATTAACGAAATTTATCTGTTAATTTCATCGAATTTTTTTACAAAATTATATAAAAAAAGTAATTTGTCATACGCAAGTTTTCGACGGAAAAATAATACTTCGACAGTAAAAAAATTTCGTTTAGCCCGTCAAAAAATAATTTTTTGATGAAAATTACTTGAATATTGCGCAATATGTCCGTAAAAATTGTTATTTATAGTAGTATGTATTGAGGGACGATGGAAATAAAATAGTACAATAAAAATAATTTGAAAAATAATATTTGTAAAATCTGCCCGTAAAATAATTTGTAAAATCAATAATCATACAAAGGTGAAAATAAATATAAAGTATTAAATATGGAGAATCATAACCATACGAAGATGGAAATAAATATAACCGTTGGATCCACATAATCGATCTAACGGTGAAATTGATTGTTAATAACATTGATAGTAACACTAATTGGTTGTTACAATATTTTCCCCTTTTTTTTAAGCTTGATTTGTCCTTTTTAAAACCCTAACTTGACATGAAAGTCTACTAAACGACCTTTTTTTATCGTGTAAATACCTAAAAAAAAGACATGACATTTATAATCTTTTTCTAATTTTTGTTTCTAAAGAATTGGTTGTTTATATTTAAAGCCACGTCTTAATTATTTGTTTCTCACGCAAATAGAAATTTTGTGCCTTTTTTTCCACACCTATTTCAAGATTTGAAGTTTAACAATTTCCATATGCTTTTGATCCTAGAGCTTCAGATTTCCTGGTTTTAAGGGAGAATAACATATGAAGAAAATGTTAAACGTAATTTGTAAATTATCTACATCTTAATTAATTGCTTTAGCTTTCTATTTGTTTCAGGATCTTCTGGTAATATTTTTTCTTATCAAAATGTGAATGAATCTACCTTTTGGAAACATACTGTTACCTCATTTTCTTTTCATTATACCATAACAAAAAGAGGAAGTAAGTGCCACTAATTTGACTAGCACTTGGTAGGTTAGTGCAAATTTGAAACTTGGGCAGAACAAGAAAAATTTTATTTATCTAAAGAATTAGTTAGGTTTAGCATCAAATTAAGAATAATAGCATGAAAACAAAATATCACTAATTAAGAATATACACACACTACAATTGTTTCTATATTATTCTGTCACAATATTTTAGCTACAATTATTTTTTATTTAACCAAGGTCCTTTTGGTAATAATATTAATATAGCTACAGTTATGCTTATTTACCTGAGCTAATGACGGTAGCTATTAGTTGTGAAATAAATATTGATATCTTTATTTGGCCAATTTTAGAGAATGACAAAGATAATCAAAGATAAATTGTGAAGAATTAGAGAAATGGTTAGTGCTATTATCACAAGGGGAGTGACAAAACTAATAAAAGCATACAAAGACAAAAAAATTCCACCATCTAATTTTGTTATATTTCCAAATCGCGTAATAATTTGGTGTCTCTTTATCACAGTGTACGAACGTGGCTAAATAACCGTAACAATTTGTCTAGTTTTTCATAATGAAAGGTAAATCATCATAAAAATCAATGGTCAGGTGTCTTACGTTTGACATGAAGGGATGAACAAGCAACAATGATTCTCATTTATTTGCATTTAATATATAAATTAATTGCCAAACATTGTTTAATGGGATAGGTTATTCTATTTATTATTTTTTCTGCCTACCTTTGTCTATCACCCTTCAACACCGATAGGTCAGAATTTCAAAGGTAGATGATAGGTAGAATAACATATCCCTTGTTTAATACATTACAACTCAATGATTCCTTTAACACATTTATTTCAAAATTTTATTTAATCTTGCTTAAATTATAATAAATTAAACCATTATTCCCCTTAATTAATTAACAAAGTTAATTTCTTGATTAATTGACCAATTATAGATGAGGTATCATAATTATCCACCTTTAATCTATAGGCTTAGGTATAATTTCTTCAATTGTCGCTAACGCGACATTGTGATTGCTCATCTTTAATCTATAAGTTTAGAGACGGTTTTTTAATCGTCATGAAGACACCGTTGTTATTTTTTCCCAAATTAATATTTTATTCAAGAAATTTTCAAGAATCAAATTATTTTAATGATATAATAATTAACATTTTATCATATTGCTTAGTATATAAATACTTTTTTTAAGTTGATTCACCTTATTAAACTATTTTTATCCTAAAAAAATAATACGATATATAGCTATATTATTTATGGAAACTTTGCAGGTTCTATCTAGGTACATTTCATCTAAAAAATGATGAATTAGCTAAGATATAATATGAAGTGCGCCTTGAGGCCGACATTTCCTTACATTGAATTTCCTACCATATGAGCCATGCAAAGGGGATTTTCAGAATCTCTCAATCTAGAAACGATTTCAATGCAACGAAAGGGTGTAATGCTTGAGTGTTGACAGCCACGTGTTATATTTGCTCAACCAAACCACATGTTAATTTTGCCTATAAACTGATCCCTTCACAGCCCCATTACGTGTGTCATTCACAGCTAGCCTAAACTTTTTTTTTCTATCCTTCCCTCCCTGAGTTGTACGAATTTTCATTCAACCATGTCGAGCTCAAGGAGAAGCAAGGGTCGTCAAAAGATCGAGATGAAAAAGATGAGCAACGAGAGCAACCTCCAAGTCACATTCTCAAAGCGTCGTAGTGGGCTTTTCAAGAAAGCCAGTGAGCTTTGCACCCTCTGTGGTGCTGATGTTGCTCTCGTTGTGTTCTCACCTGGTGAGAAAGTCTTTTCCTTTGGCCACCCCAATGTTGATGCTGTGATAGATCGATATCTGATGCGAGCACCACAACAAAACTCTAGCACCATGCAGTTCATTGAGGCTCACCGCAGTGCCAACGTGCGTGAGCTCAATGCACAACTCACTCTGATCAGCAACCAGCTTGACACTGAGAGGAAGCGCTGCGAAGAGGTTAACCGTATGCGCAAGGCAACTCAGGCTCAGTTTTGGTGGGCTTTTCCCATTGAGGACATGAATAGGGCTCAACTTGATCAATTCAAAGTGGCCTTGGAGGAGCTCAAGAAACATATCACTCGCCATGCTGATAGGCTTATCATTCAGAGTGCTACTAACCCAACTCAGTTTTTTGTAGGCAACTCCTCTTCCAACCCAATGCATCAGCCACCTCCACCACCACCTCAGGTGTTTCTGCCACACATGATTCAGCCACCAATGCTTCAGAACCCTATGCTGCAGAATCATATGTTTGATGGAAGCATGATGCGCCACCATGGCTTTAACAACATGGGAGGAGGGTATGGACCTGCTGGATTTTTTTGATCCTCCCTAAATGATGCCCTATTTATTTTTTTAAATTATGTTTTGTTATTTTAATAACCGTATAAAAACAAGCTTAATCAGTTTCATGGTTTTGACTGATTAGCTGAGGTTCAGATTTTCATTGTCTAGCTTGTCTTGAACCATTATCATGTATTGTTAAAATGTATCCCTTTCATGTCATTTCTTTTGTTATGTAGTTGGGTCCTCCAACGGTGTAGTTCTATATATGTTGTTCAAATAAAGGGCATCTTTATTTATTATATATGATCTATATATGTCCAAAATCATAGTTTTTTGAAGTCCAATGAATCCACTTAATTCCGTTATTTTGAATTAGTTTATCGTAATAAGACGGTTAAAGAACATTAAAATTATCACGATGAATATATATATATGTGCAAAAAATTACTCAATAATTTAGTATGAGTCTTTTATATGATGTTATATGAGAGAGTCGTAACCATCGTAACGCAATTTAATAATACATCCTATGTTTACCAAAAAAAAAAAAAAAAACAACAACATCTTATGTACGTAATTTACAGCAATGATGCACACTTTGTTAAAATTAACCAAAATTTATTAAATAATTCGCATTGAATTATATTGTAATTTGTAATTAAGTCTTTGTCTAATCGACGTGACTCTTCGATGGCGTCATAAAAAATTTATATGAAAAGGTTTGATTTTTTTTTTTTTTAATACCATATGACATATGCTATATGAATTTTGAGATAAAGGGATATTTTTTTTTAAAACAAAAGGCCTAAGTCACATTACAAAGAAAGAACAAAAAAAAAAAAAAAACTTAACTATTGCAACTCAAAGTACGAAGTCTCGCAACACTTGACAGATCAGCAAGCAATAGTAATTGGATGCCAATAGGAGATTTCTGCCAAACAAGATAATATTCATGTCTCTTATAGTCTAATATAAAATTCGCCAACCAGCTACACATGAATTATCCTCCCTCAGAGTATGTCTAAAAGTCACAACCAGTTTTTGAGATAAAGGCATTTTTAATGTTGATGTTAATGCTATATAAGAAATGGGTAATACTTTTCTTATGTTGCATAAGAAAAATATTATCTCCCACGCTCATATTTTTCAAACGGGTCTCATAATTTTTTTTTCTTATCCAACTCTTTTCTTAATGCTATTTATTATTTCTTAATGTTAAATTTGATGTTTTTGTTTTCTATTTGAATGATAGTGTACCTTTAACTTTTAGTGGATTTTTCAGTATTATTAGTGGATTTTTCCATGACCTTTTTCATTTTTAATTTGACTTTTTGTTTGAATTGGTGGATTTTATAGGGCCTTGATTGTGTTCGTATATCAGCAAACTGTCTGCTCCCTTTTCTCGAGTCTTCTACATACAAATTCCTATAAAATTATTTTGGTCACTAATGAATTATGGCAGCTGATCTCTCTGTTGTCCTTGTCATCATGTGCACTCCATTGGATACTTATATTTTCCTTAATTTCCTACAAAAGGGAAATCGGTGCAAGAAATGGTGAATGAAGCTCTTCAACAGGTCCCCAATACTGATAGTTAGTACCGTTGCTTGCAGCCATGACTGAAATTCACTTAAAAGTATGATTTTCCATATTTTCTAAAGCAAGTTTTCTGATGGTATAGGCTATTTGTTTATTATTTATGTGCAGGGGACAAAAATATTGATATGGTATTTTCTCTTCTGAATTCAGTTTTCAATTATCAGTACCAATATTACTAGTCTGGAATTGAATGTTAATACTGAAAGTTTGCGTCATCAGGTCAATTAGATCCTAGACTCATTGGCTGTAACGGGAGTTGTTGACAGAGTTGTTGGCAAAAATAATCACTACTGAACTTTAAGAGCAGAGGAGGTAAAGAGCAGAGGAGGTAAAGATTTCTTATTTTGTTTATTTTTTTCTTGAATTTATTTTAAAACATGATCTTAAAATATACATGATCTTAGGGATCCATTATGATGTGATTTTATTAATTAGGCACTCCCCCACCGTAGACAGTTCCAAGTTGGAAGATGAAACTCTTGATGAAAAAGAAGATGGTGTCAGAGACAGAGAAAAAAGCCAAGGAATAGAAGGATTGTTTATTAATGTGAAGTTCAAAAAAGGCCGAGAAGAAATTGTTACGTTGAATTATAAATTGATATGTTATAATTTTATTTATTAAGGAGATTTGATTTTATTGCATTGATTATAGAGATTTGATTTAATGAGATTTGATTTTATTGTATTGATTAAGGAGATTTGATTGTATTGTATTGATTAAGGAGATTTGATTTTGATTAAGGTATATGTTGTTTATTTTGATTATATCTTTTTATCAGGTGTAGTATAGAAAATTAGTATTAATTTTGTAGAGAGAAATTTTAAAAAATAAATTCTAAATTTTTTTGATGGAATTTGTTTTTTGTCGAAAATCTTTACATAGTTTTCGACGAAAATTTATTGATTTTTCGTTGAAAATTTTCGACGGAATTTATTTTTCGTCGAAAACTTTTTCAACAATTTTCGACGGAATTCTTTTGCTTTTCCGTTAAAATTTTCGACGGAATTTAATTTTCGTCAAAAACTTTTTCAACAATTTTCGATGAAATTTCATTGTTTTTCGTTGAAAATTTTTGACGGAATTTATTTTCCGTCGAAAACTTTTTCAACAATTTTGGACGGAATTCAATTGTTTTTCCGTTGAAATATTTTGACGAAATCCATTTTCTGTCGAAAACCATCACAATAATTTTCGATGGAATTTCATTGATTTTTCGTCGGAAATTCCGTCTAAAATTTTTGACTGAATCTCTAAATCCGTCAAAAAAATTGTTAGCAACGAAGAGATACACCATGGCTTAATTTTCGTCAAAAATTTGGAATTTTAACCATTTTCGACGGAATTTTTCGGTTGAAAAAAATACATTTTTTAGTAGTGAATTAAGTTGTATTAGTTATAATAAATCTCCTACATTTTAATTATATTTTTCGTTATAGTTAAGTTGTATTTCATTGGAAGGATAATCACATGTGAAGAAGATAATCACATGTGACAGATCTCTATTATAAGGAAAGTTCTTGAAATTAAAGAAGGGTTAGTTTTTCTACCGTCAATATAGATAACTTATCGACATTGAGTCCAAAACGATATCATTTTGAGGCGAAAATCATGTTTTTTTTGTAATTATAGTTTATTTTAGGGGTATAATAATTTTTTTCATTATAATTTTTTAGTTTTTCAACCTAAAACGATATCGTTTGGGAGTAAATATAGATAACTTATCTACCTTCACTGTAGAAACATTAAAGTCATTAAAGAATTGGTGGTATGTGCATATATAGTGCATGCATGAAATACCAGGCTTTCAAAAATGTATACCTTAAAAGTGAACTCATATTTATAATTTTTTTTTCCTAACTATTAACTTGGGGTGAAGGTTCCTCCAAAAAATCTAAAATCCTTTCAGATAGCTAAGGTTCCTTAGGAAAAACTTGAAGTCTTTTCATGTATCTAACTCTTGTATCAGGAATTTGGTTGGTTTGTATTAAGTTACGTGGTCAATTCCTATTATTATATTTAAAAAAGAATTTGACCTAGAATAAATTATAACGCATTTAGTGATACAAAAAAAAGTAAAAAATAAAAATTAATACTCTCATAAGTACTTGAAATTAAATTTCTATAAACTTAAAACTATCTTGTACTACGTTACCAACCGTCCTAAAAGGAAAAATATAAAAGAATAGAAATAAATGTTAACATTAATATTCGATTGCAAAAAATTCTCCTAATAAGACATATGACAAAATTGGAATAAAAGCCTTGATACATATAAACCTTGTTTGTTTTAATGAAAAAATACATATATGAATCAACAGCAAATATTTCTTTGGCCAATTGTTACATTCTTTAAAAGGAAAAAAAAACCATTTTTGTTAACAAATCAAAAAATATTAAAACAAATTAGAGGGGGTACACATCACTTTTTAAAATTTGTTTTGTTTGAGAATAATTTCTATAAAAATACTTATCTTGTGATAATAATATTGGAAAAAAATTATAATGAAAATATGTTTTAAAAAACCTTCATAATATAAAAAATGGGAAAAATGTATATCATTTTAAAGGATGTAAAGTTGTGTCATTTTAAGTGAGAGAAAAAGATAGATAAAGGGGAAGAGAGTGTGGACAAAAAATAATAAAGGTGTGGATTTCATATCTTTGTGATAGTGAAATGACATAAATTATATAATTTTAAATGACAAACACTTTTCCCGTAAAAGATATACGATTTAGTGTCCTTCCATAGGTGGCTGTAACATTTAAAAAAATGGCTAGAGTCCCACTAAGATGTGTTAAGTGGCCCATAGAGAAGAAGAAAAAAATGCATTCAATAGATTTTTATTATTAAATTTATTTGAGTGCAGTTTTAAAGTTTATTTAAGGGGTTTTAGTTTGTCCTTTAACATGACATGGTAAAGTTTCCTACACACAAAACATCTTGTGTGGTCCGCATTTTTTGAAAAAAAAAACTAAGACACGGAAAACGAATCTCAGTAACATGACACAGTCACTTTTCTTACAACATAACTTTTATAAAACTCTTAGTTGACATTATATAAGAATTTTTACATTTGTAATGTTACATCACTAACATTAAATTCATGATATTAAAACTGAAGATTATATAACTTCTTAATTTTGGAAACATAATAAAAAGTAATAAAACATAAAATGGAAAATTAATGTGTTAGGTGTCAGACACCAAAGATTTAGCAATATATATATACCGATGTGAGCTTCCTCTATAGGAATCCAAAACCAAAAGAAGCAGCATTTGGCTTTCTTTCTTTTCTTCTGTTCTTCTCTCTTAGTGGTCATTTCTTTCAATTATGTCATCGAAGAAGAAGTCTAGTTTAGGTCGGCAAAAGATCCCTATTGAGAAAATAGGGAAAAAAAGTCATCTGCAAGTTACATTCTCTAAGCGTCGTTCAGGACT